CAATCTTAACAATGCTCTTAAAAAACTTCAGAATCATTTTCTCTACCTTTAAATTTTAGCTGAAAAACAAATTGATTACTGACTTTTTAAATAGCACATTGAGATAGTGTTCTTAGTACCTTATTAGTATTTTAATTTATTATAACTTTAACTTGTAGTGATAACATTCATTATATGATTAATTCTTAAGTAGGTATGTTTATATGGCTTTCAATTGCATTGTCACAGGAAAGCCCCACCGGGGGAGTGTCAATAAACTATTGTATTTTATTTTATTGTATATCCTTTAACTACTGCTCTGGCCATTGCTGCACAGCACTAGTTATCTTTCAGCCCCTGTAACCTTTTTAGACAAGACTTTGGCTTTACCTCAATTTGGTTGAGCTAACTTCACAGAAAAAATATCTTACACTAGCCCAGCCTTACTTCAGCAAAAGCCAACATTCAAGCGTAGACCATGCCCAAAATAGGATTCTTTTTTTCTTGTTTTTCGCTTAGTACGGATGATTAATGTACTATTAAAATTAAGCCGATTTAATCAGACTTGTTTAAGTTCTCCTGTTCTCGCCTGGGCGCACTTGTCACAGACGACTTAACCTGCACAAAGCAACTTAGCAAACAATGCCCAAAAGCCAACAAACTGCTGGGGTTTATCAGGCACAACACAAGATTCATCAAGAGTAGCATGGTAAGAAGATCTATATACCTTGCTCTAGTAAGGTCACATTTTATTTATGCAACACAAGTATGGAACCCTCAGTCTATAAAACTTGTGCAGAAGATAGAGCGGGTTCAGAGACATGCATCGAAGTTTATCCTGGGCTTGCCCTTTCGATGTGAAGAATCTTACAGAAGCAGGCTAATATAAAACTGAACCTTCTCCCAATCTCCTACTGGCAGGAACTACTGGCAGGAACTACTGGACATGATTTTCTTTTTTAAAGCAGTAACTGGCTTAGAATATGTAAATTCTGAGGTTCTCCAGCAAATCCATTCAGCTCGTACCACTAGTTCTAATAGCAATCCTAATGTCATTCACTTTGTACAAAGAAGAAGTAAAACAACAACCTTTCAAAGATTGTTTTTTCAATAGAACTGTCAGAATTTGGAACTGCGTTGCCAACGATTTGGAACTCTCCTTAAACTTAAATATTAATCGATTTAAGTCTATTCTGTACCAATACTATTTTATCGCTCTATCAAAATGGTATGACCCCTGAGGATGCCAAAACCTGGAAATCAACCTGTCCTTCTTGTAATGTAACCCATAATTTGTCTGCAAGTGTTCGTTGCTGTTTTTGATCTTGTATTTATAAATATTTTGTAATATAGTTTTTAAATTGGGACCACAGTAATTGGCTGTAGGTTGCTATGGCACCCCTGCCTGTGTTTGTTGTAATATTTTTCTTATTGTATATAATTATATTCTTATTGATATTTTTGTATAATATTCTTAATAACATTTTTCTTATTATATATATATATATATATATTCAGGCAAAACTAATAAAATAAAATAAAATGAAAATTAATGCTGGTAAGCAGTCACAAAATCGCAAGACCATGTTAAACACACAACCAGCGCCATCCAAGGTTGTCAGCCACCTGACTGCACCATCGAAGACATTCAATCATCTTCAAACTGCAACCCGACAACTGTTGCAACCACTAACGTAAGCGTTAGTAGTCAACTGCCTCTGCAATAGTCTTCAGCCAGCGCTCAGAGCACTGCTAGTCAATCACCTGCAAGACCATCGCCTAAGAGCAGTGGAATGATAGCTCCTCTTCCGAAAAGTCCTGAAGCTCCACATCTAATTGCTTACATTCATAATGTCTCCCTGCTCAAGTGAAACAAGAACACCATAGATTGTACAACTTTAACCTTGCAAATGGATGCCTCTACAACCCAACCAGCACTGTTATTCAAAGGCAAAACGAAAAACCCTACACGTGCATGAAACAAAAAGAGCACCCATAAAGATGACACATTACACGAAATTGGCAGACAAGACTAAAATAGTGATCAATGACAAGACTTTGCTCACCAAACCGGATGAATTGGAGTACACATTCCACTGTTGTGATGATGCAGATCAACTTGTAACACAGCTCGGTGACCTCTTGAAAGACGATGCTTCCAAAGAGGAGAACATCACCAACTGCGCAAAAGTCCCAAAAGTCCTAAAAGTCTCTCCTCCTAAGAGTATTGTCACACAACAGTCAAGGGGTATAAATGAAGTTTCAGAGATGATACTTCTGGATAACACAAGAACTACAATGTTAGATTTCTGGAATGAGAAAATTTCTCAGGTGCAGTTAGACTGCGTGTGTCAATTCACATCATTATAGACCAGTTACTGAAATAATTCCAAGAAGTTGACTTCCACCATGAACACCACCATCAAGCAAAGCTTTCAAGCTGATCTATCTTCCCTTCAATTCAATGAAAGCAATCCTACTGAACTGGAAAACGAACATACCATTCATGTCCCAATGATTAGCACAGTTGAGGAAGTTCAAACGTACAAAACTTGTTGTAATTGTAACAAGTGCATTATTCAACTAGAACATTGATCTGAACTTAAGGTGGGATGTGAAATTCACATAAATGTGGCAAGAAGTTCTCATATACTTGATTTTGTCAAGTTTAATGATTTTTACCCTATCTTATGTTCACACTTTTGCTTTCTGATTGAAAGGATAACAAAGGAAAGATTCCCTCCGTGAGCTCCTTGAAGCACATATTCATGGATCGATAGACTGTTTTTATCAGCACTGAGAATGCCTGCGAAAGAGGCTGCTTGTCTTGATGTATTTTACATACAATAAATTAGAAACCAGCAGTTCCACATTGGAAAGCAAGTGCACTCCATAAACCTTTACCTACAGCATTGAGCGAAATTCAATGAGAAAGGCCTGTAAGCTCACATAGGAAGAAAAAAACTTCTTGAATACCTGCAAATTTTCACGACACAGAGGAAAAAATGAGCAAATAATAATCACTCAAGCAGCAAAGAATTTGGCTTTTCCTCCTAAGCCAACACCAGAAGAGCTTAGAGAGAGCATTGTTCACGACAAAGAAAATCTCTTTAGGATAGAAAATGGCATCATGAAGCTTCCAGATCCAGAGAAATTACTTTTGGGATGGCAATTGTCCCTCCCGCTTCCTGTACATTTATTTATCTATTTATTTCTGCGTTGCTATGTGAATTGACAGGTCCGTTCGTTGCTATGGGCTAGTGACGGGTGTTTTTCAACAGCGGGTCAAGTTGAGTTTTGGAGTATTGCGAGCGAATAAAGTGATTAAAATATACAAATATTGAACCAGCCGAGTATAATTGTCGTTCGTCAACGACATTTGGCCCTTCGAGCCGGATACTGAGCGAAGTCAAGTGAAAAATCGCCGAGTCAAGCTGTAAGTCACCTGTGTACATGTAACTGCATGAATTATTATTATCGAGCCATGTGGTTAAATACTGTGAAGATTCATTCAAGTTCCGTTAAGATGAGTGCCTTGAACAAAGGAGAAAACAAAACACCACGACTGTTTACGCCAAGTGAGTCCACTACTTCAAGTAAACGTTCCGTTTCAAGAAAGAAATTGCAAGCCGAGAAGTTAGCCCTTGAACTAAAAATAGCCGAGGAAACGTTTGCAAATGAGATCGAATTTCTGCGAGCCGAACAACAGCAGCGTGCAAAGCTTTTGGAACTTCAAAAGAAAGCTGAAGAATCAAGATTGGAATATGAGTTCGAAGATGCCATCGCCCAGGAAGAAGGTATGTCAAATAAAGGCGATATTGATGAAGAGTTGAATGAATTACCTGTAGACGGCGTGAATGATCGGGTCTCGCGCTTAGACCTGGGAATTACTGAAAACACTGTTGTCAAACAACCTGACAACGAGGAAATTAAATCCATTAAACCAGAGGTCGTTAGAGACGTCTCTAGTCAACCCTGTAAAAAGTAGAGATGTGAATCATCTATTGCTAAAGTTCAAGCTGAGTTGAAAACCTCTGCCACAGGAAACCTTAGCATGCAGACGTCAAAGACAGATCAGTTGTTTGAGAAAATACTGCCAGCCTTTGTGAAATGGTTAAACCAAATTTGCAGAAATTGAATGGAAATCCACTAGAGTACTCAAAATTTAAAGCAGCATTTAACGTTGAAGTAGATAAAAGGGAGGTTTACGATGCAACAGAGAAGCTTAAATTTCTGAAGGAAGTGCAAGATCACGTCTAGCGAAATTCATGCCAGGTTCAGACAAATACGAGGAGGCATGGACTGCGCTTCAGGAGCGTTTTGGCTGTGTAGACACAGTTGTGTCAGCTGGAAAGAAGCGTATAGACCAATTTCCGACCATAGTGAAAGAAAATAGTATGCAGATCAGGCAGTATCAAGAAATGGTTTCTGAGTTGATAGGCATTTTAAAGGAGCACGACTTCCTTCATGAGCTTAATTCGCAAGTCCCTGAAGCAACTGTTGCTAATCTACCTACAGGCCTTTGCTGTAGATGGGCCGAGTTTGTTGAAGGAAAACCAAAGTTGTCAACGTGGGATTCATTTGCAAATTGGCTGGAAAAAGAGGCAAAAATCAGCAAGTCCAAGCAGCGGTGGATGCCAGAGAAGAGAGAGTGGAAGCGTTTAGATACATCTAAAGTTGATAGGCGTAGGTCAGCTGACAAATCACAATCTGAGCTGTTTGTAGGAGCCACAGGAGAAGCTTTACACACCAGCTGTCGAACTAAGAGGTGCCCAGTTCACCAGTCCACTAATCACACTTTGCAGGAGTGCAAAAGGTTTAAAGGAATGTTGCCTAACGAAAAGGTCAAAGTTGTTGAGGAACAAACTCTGCTTATGTTGTTTATTACCTGGTCATCGTCTGAGTAAATGCCATAGTAGGAATAGATGCAAAGTTGAGAACTGCGACATGCATCATCATACCCTCATACATGAAGTCGACTTGAAATTTATTGAACGAGCAAAAGCGAAACGCGAATCTGAACAGTGCCAGATGTTGAAAGTGAGCCTGCACAAGTATCCTTGGAAGGTGAAGACTCATCACCATGTCAGGCTGTGGAGCCCCACGAAGGGTATCGCCAGTCAGCAAACGCAGGTTGTCAAGCTGGTGGTCGTGCATTGGTTGAAGTACTTCCCATAGTTGTCTTTGGAGAAACACGAAAACAACAAGTGATCGCATTGCGTGACTTGGGCTGTAACACAACACTAATAGATGAAAGTTTAGCTCTCTCACTTGGACTTCACGGCAAAGAGGTAGATCTTGAAATTCAAGGAGTAAATGTGCGGAAGGTGTTTACTTCCCAGCACATCAAGAAATGCCATGTGGCACAAGTCGGAAGAGAAGAAGTTCAGTATTCCTTGCGAGATGTGAAAACAATCCCTGGCCTGAATGGTCCGGATCAGAAGTTGAAGTGGTCAACAATCAAGCAAGAGTATCAGCACCTGAAGGACTTGGACTTATGTGACACCGACACAGGTCCAGTGCAGCTCATAATTGGAACTAACAACTCTGATTTGATTCTACCAAAACAAATTGTTAAACCCTCTGGTCAACCAGAAATTGACAGATTGCCTTATGCAGTTGAAACCCTACTTGGATGGGCGGTGACTAACTGGTTACCTGGCGAGCGAGGAGTAGTTTCTCCATACAATGGGTTCAAGGTATACGAAAGAAGTTCAGTTGAAGATGAGGAGCTGAAGCAGCTGGTCGTGGCTCAGTCAGAGATAGAAACGTTAGGTGTGGTGAAGCTAGCAGATCCAACTTGTTCAATTGAGGATAAGCGAGCATTGTCACTAATGGAAAAGACAACCTTTAAGAATGCAAATGAAGATGCATACGAGTCAGGCCTACTTTGGAGGGAAGAGGAACCGTCTCTACCCAACAATTACGAAATGGCAAAGAAGAGGCTGCAATCCCTAGAGAAGAAGTTTGAAAGCTGTCCTGAGGTCAGAGAGAGATATGCAAAATCAATCCAGGATGACATTGAGAAAGGCTATGGGAAGAAACTGAGTGAAGAGGAAGTACAGTGCGATAGTAAAGTGACTTGGTACTTACCACACAGATTTGTCATTAACCCCAAGAAACCTGATCGTCTCAGGAGAGTTTACGATGCATCTGCAAAATTTATGGGACAAAGTTTGAACGATAAGATCTATACAGGGCCAGATCTTCTGTCCTCTCTGTTTGGAGTCTTCCTCAGGTTTTGCGAAGGAAGAATTGCATTGGCTGCTGATGTGAAAGAAATGTACCATATGCTTCGCCTCCCTGACCATGACAAGCCGGCGATGAGATTCTTATGGAGGGACTCTCTGAGAGAAGAACCGAGTGTGTATCAGTTCGAGAGAACAGTGTTTGGAGAAGTGTCTGCACCATCTAGAGCGAACTATACTATGAGGCGAAATACTGATGAGAATGGCAGAGATTTACCTCTGGGTGTGAAAGCAGTCTACAAGCACTTTTATATGGATGATGGCCTACCATCAAGTCAAAGAG